TAATTAAAGCAATGCCTAGAATCAAGACTTTTAAAATGTAAATTACAAGATGCAGTGATCAATACAAGGTTTTTCTCTGCAAAGGAGACAATCTTGTATGATAGATAAAGTGGATAATTAATAAAAGATAAGATGAACTACATCATGATCTGATATTATTTGCTTTGCCACCTCTCCCAACCTCAATTTTTCACTCTCAGATTTGAGATAACCTACTATACAGGATTATTAGGATGAGTAAACCAAGCCATGTCTGTGAAATCAGTTTGTAAAGAGGTTTATATAAGTGTGTTATCACTATGATGAGAAGTTACCAACTCTGGATACACTTCCCATGATATATACATAGGGCAGGAGGTTGGGGGTTGGAGCAAGCAATGGGGAGGCACTAGCCAAGTTGGTGAAAGGACTGAAGCCAGAAGGAAAACAGTGAAAATTAAACTTTGGGAGAAAGTGCTAGGGAGACAATAATATTGGTCTACCACAGAGTAGTGTGAAGGAAACAAAATAAAATGTAATTAGTAAAAATTAATTCACAGAAAAACATCAAGATTTGTATCTGTGTGTTTTCAATAAACTTATCCTTTGGGGAGTGTTTGCCAGAGATGTAAGCATTGTCATTGGAGCTTGGTCATTTTAGGACAATGTCAAATAAGATATTTTTTTGCACACTCATGCATTTGCCAAAATACAGGGAGGATGCTGTCTATGAAGAGAGGTACCTCGGGTTGTTTGCTTTTAACAGGCTCACCTTTACCTATGCCTCCAAATTATATTTGTTTTTCCTTCTCAGTGTCCCCTGTTAAATACAATCTCATGCCTAGCCTACTTAGGAGGAATGCAATCAATAATGGAGACTCATCATACAAATGTTATTTATCCAGGCAAAAATATACAACTTATTATTCCTATTATATGCCAGATATTTTGCACATATATTGTTATTCAATCCATGCAAGTTATAGGTGATAACATTTTACAGGGGAGAACTCAAAGGCTTGACAGATTGAATGATATTCTCAAAGTCAAATGGCCAGGAAATTATCATTCAACTTGGGCTTGGTGACAGCAGGTTAGTCTCGAGAGAGACAAAAAGCAGGTAGAGGTCCTCATCCACCTTCTTTACATTTGAACTTTAGTGATTTATTAGGGAAAAGCAGCACTGAATTATCCTGTTCTATCAAAATAAAGCCAGACAACCACTTGGAAGGGAGACCTAAAGATTATTCCATGGGGTGGAACTCACTACTTCTAAAGTTCCTTCTTCTTTTATTCTATAAGTCCTTGATTTTTAGTGCCCTTTTCTAATTTTCCAACCTAAAAATAATTATGTCTCATTATATTCAGAACAATACAATTTCTACTAATGTCCTCACTCCCAGAAATGGGGATATAGTAGATAAAAAATTGCTTGTCAGTTTTGCAAAATCTTTTTCTTTACAAAGAAACCACGGCAATTTCTTGTCCTTGTAACAGGTGACATTTGGGCTATTGAGACACACTGAAACATATCTGCAGTCTGCCACAAGTTTTGAGTGTGCTGCTCCCACTCTCTAAATCTCCCAAGGCCAAAATAACACCTGGAAAATGGTTGCTTAAAAGGTCTCTCTAAAATGTCATGCTTCTCAAGAATATTATGGAAGTTATTTATTATTCAATGAAACTTAAGTGAAAATCCTCAGCTACCACCATGCCTTCACCTCTCCATTAGACACCCTTAATTCCAGAGTTTATAGAGCAGAAGGATGTTATAAACATTGTGACCAAACCTACCTTTTGGAGACCTTCACCAAACCTGGAGAACTCAACCAACCTTTTGGAATTCAACTCATAGCAGAAAGCAAGTTAAAAGACAGTATGTCCACATATCTGTTCACCTCTTCAAGTACTTGTCCATCTTTTATCTCTGTTCTCCCCCCTGGTTCATTTGTACTACCACCGTGTCAAACATGTCCAAACTTTAGGTTGGCACTACCCTTATTACCAGAGGTAAGTCATAGCAGGAGGATGCAATGGTGCAAACTCAATTCACTCCACGATGCATCAGTGGTATAGTAGTGATTCACAGTACAGCAGTGGCACTCCACAAACTCAATTCCATGGAATGTTTATCCCAGCAGAACTGAAGAGTAGATTTTCCAGCTCACTCCTGATCCTTTTCAGCCTGACTCCTTCTTGAGTGCCACCTTTGCCTTCTGCTCATGAGTGTTTTCCACGAGACCAAATAGACTTCCAGACATTGCAAATAGATGAGGTTTGGGACAGAAAGTCTCAGTTTTTAGAACCTGTTTTTATAAAGGTGGATTGCTCTGTCAACAAACTCTGAATGCCAAGAGCTCCTTTCAGAATGATCACATTGCCCTGTCCAGCTCCAACAACTCAAGAAAAGAGTTTTCCTTCTTTGTGCATCAGAACCATCTGGAGAGATTATTAAAAATATAGCTTCCCAGGATCCAACTCAAGCCTACTGAATCAGAATCTCCAGGGATAGAAACCAGGCATATCTGTTTTAACCAGCTGCCTAGTTGATCCTAGTGAAAATGCAAATTTGAGAAAGACTGCTGTGACCTAAATTGGTAATATGAAAATTTGAAATCATGGTGCTAAGCACTTTCTTTAAAATTTGGATCTTGAAGTATATAATATCTTAAGAGATGACTATTTCTTTTCCAGAAAGCTCCAAGCTTACTACACTTTCAGGCATTCAACTGGGGAGAAGAAGATTCTCATCCAGGTCTAACATTGGTCATAGTGAAAGGAAGCTATGGAATATTTCCTCCCTTTTCCCACATGCCCTCACTCCCAAGCAAGAGCTAGCTGGTTATAAATGTGGTTGCTTTATTAATAAGAATCATATCCTATATCAATGTTTTTTTACAATGAAATGACATGATTAGTTGGACAGAGTATTTTTAGAGGATTTAATGTCTTCACTTACACAAAGAAAGACTAAATTTCCACCTCCATGGCAAATATCTTGAACCTAAACACCTTGGGAGTAAGATTCCTGGGGTGAAAGTTCATAAAGTTAATATGACACTGAATACAACAGAGGAAGAGCTGACAGTGTGACCTGTAGCCAGTCCAGAACTGAGCATATAGTGAAAGCTTTGACTTTACTCTGAGCCCCAATGGAGAGGAAGTTCAAAGCCAGTTAGCCACTAATGAGAAATGCATGTTCACTTTCGACATCTCGTTTTTCCCTTTTTTACTTCCACAGTTGCAACTTGAGTTTCTATACGCAAGCAGATAGCCACGGGTAAGCCCTGTTGAAATAATTCCAACTTACCAAGTCACACAGAGATAGATGAATAGTGACCAACAGAAGGCTAGAGAGAATTCCAAGCGATCACATAAAGGATCATCAGCTTCTCGTGAAATGACAGAATATTTGATCAAAAATTTTCCAAAACATAAAAAAATAGATAAATTTAAAATATATTAATGAAAATTATTAAACAGCAAAGGTAATAATACAGTAAAAATTTTGTTCATTGATGCGTTTGACAAATGTTTATTAAGCACCTTTTATATGGCAGGCACTGTGCTAGGCACTGAGGATTCGAAGGTGAATAAAAGACAGACTTGACCTCAAAGAGCTTTGTTTCTAGTAAGTAAAAAACAAAAATTGTATAGGTATGCAGTAAGGAATTATAGGCATCATGACAGGTAGGCAGACAGGTGACTGTGGGGACAAAATTGGGAATAATCAAGTAGTCTTTAGGAAGAAGGCAGGAGATAGCCTGTGTTGAGTCTTCAATCATGAGTAGATGTCCACTGAGCAGAAAAAGTGAGGAAAGGATTTCAGGGTAGCATGAAGAAATAAAATATATGGCACATTAGGAAAATGTCAAATAATTTGGGATAACTGGAACATTCTAGAGTGCAAGGAATAAGACCTAAAAAGGATGGTTTTGAAGAAGTAAACACAGGCTCATGAAGAGCTATGAATGACACACTAAGGTGCTGAGGCTGAGCAGGGTGCCAATGGAGAGTTTTCTGTCTTAGAGTCTTAGAAAGTTCACTCTAGGTGAAATGTAGAGATTAAGTTTAAGCAAAGAAGTATTAGAGGCTTGGAAACCAGTATGGAAGCCATTGCAATGACCTGGACAAGATCATGAAGTCTGGATCAAGGCAGGGGTAGTGAAATAGAGATGTGTACAGATGTTGGAGCTTTTAAGAGAGCAGAACTAATAGGCTACTAACAAAAACCTAATTGACATTGTGCCCCTCTTTTTTTACTTCCGAGTAGTCAAGTTATTTGCTTAAATGATTCCATGGGAGCATAAGTACAGCAACTGTCTAAATTCCATTTCACTTCTCTAATGTATTTATGAGTGCTACTGAGCAGTAATATAGCTGAAATATGGACAAAACTGGTTGGAAGATCAAAGAAGAGCCTAGGGTAATGTAAAATAAGCAATTCTCAGTGATTATCAGAGGTTAAAGGTTGGGTGGAGTTTGACTACGGAGAGAGTTTTCAGAGAAGTGGGGGAATAAATTGTTCTGTATATTTTTTGTTGTGCTAGTTACATGACTCTTTACTTTTGCAAAAACTTATAGATGTGAATTAACTATTTGTTGACCGGTTCATGAAGTGAGTATCTGTATCGATTTTATAAACAAATTCTACCATCTGATTTCTTGGGTGCTGCAGAGCTTAGGGGTACATTCCCTGCAAAACCTGCCTCAGTCTCATAGCAGAGGTAAATGGTTAGAGTTTGACTGCACAGTGAACTGATACTACTGCTGGTTCAGATAAACTGTCCTAATCACTTTTCCCTGCTCAAGGACCCTCTTACAAACTTTTTGAAAATATAAGCAATATGGAAGCTAGACTTTCCTTGAAATTTTCTATCTATAGTGGGAAACTGATGGACAAGAGCAAGATAACATAAAGTAAGGGCACTGCCAGCCTATGCAATGACCACGTGTGCTGAGTGCCCCCACTAATTGGAAAACCTTCCTGACTGGTTTGGAGTCTTAATAAAAACAGCAGGGTACTTGCTCTGACAGCACATAGACTAAAACTGGAATGACACAGAGATTAGTATGGCCCTGGAGCAAGGATGACACACAAATTTGTGAAATGTTCCATATTTTTATACGTGGAATCTTAAAAAAAAAAAGTTCATAAAACAGATAACTGATTTGTGGTTACCAGAGGTGGGGGGTGGGAAGTGGGGAGTTTGGGGGAAGGTGATCAAAAGGCACAAACTTTCAGTTATAAGATAAAGTCCTGGGATATAATGTACAGTATGACTAGTTAGCACTCCTATACGATACATTTGAAAGTTGCTAAGATAGTAGATTCTAATAATCTTCATCACAAGGAAAAACAAAACTTTTTTGTAACTACGTGAGGTAATGGATGTTAACTAAACTTACTGTGGTAACATTTTGCAATATACGTATGTCAAGTCATTACACTGCATACTTTAAACTCATATAGTACTAAAAAAGAATAGCAGGAAATGCATAAAATTTTACTACAAGCTCAAACCCTATATTACATACTGTATTAGTCCTCTATTGCTGCATAACAAATTACCACAAATTTAGCAGCTTAAAACACCTCCAGTTTAGTATCACACAGTTTGGCAGGTCAGAAGTCTGACTCTTCTCTGCAGAGAGAGTCACAAAGCCCGGGTCAAGGTGTTGGCTGGACTGGGAAATTATCTGAAGGCTCTGGGAAAGAATCTCCTAAGCTTATTCAGCTTGTTGGCATAATTCAGTTCCTTGGTATACAAGACTGAGATCACTCTTTCTTTCCATGGCTCATTACCCCTTCCTCCATCTTCAAAGACAATAATGACTCTAATCCTTCTCAGGCTAAGAGTCTCTTTGACCTACTCTTCCATGACCAGCCAAAGAAAACTGTTTTTAAAGTCTTGTGTGATTAGATCAGGTGCACCTGGATAGTAAGGTCAACTGATTAGTAACCTTAATTATATCTGAAAAGTCATTTTTGCCATGTAACATAACAAAATCACAAGAGTTATACATGGGGCCATCTTAGAATTCTGCCTACCACACGGATGCTAGATTCTGTCCAGCACCACTGACCTTCTTTGTGTCTCTAAAGGTACCATTCACCTAAACATTCTAAAGTTGTCTTTGAAAACAAGTGCCGGTCAGTGATTCAGAGCCCACTTTCCAGATTACAATTATTAAGATTGGGATGCCATAGAAAATACCAGATTTAAAGTTAGAGGAACTGTGTTTAAATCCCAAAACTTCAGGAAAGAGAGAAGTCAGTATTAATTTGGAAAAAGCTTCCTGGAAGAAGTGGCACCCAAGCAGTGCTTTCCAGGAGGCACAGAGTTTGGGTAGGTGAGAACATGACTAGAGAAAGGAACAAACAAGGCATTGGCTGAGCAGTGAGGAGAAGCACCTGAGAGCCTGTTGGGGAGAAATGGAAGATAAGATTAGATTGACAGGGAAAGCTCAAGTAAAGACGGCTTTGTAAACCAACACGTGAGTTTGCATTTGATTCAATAAGCAATGTTGAGCCTTTGAAAACATTTTTAGGTTTCTGTAAGAGTATGCCAAATAGTTGGAAAAAATTTGAATTAGTGAGAAAAATGAGGTTAGAAGAAAAATAATTACAAAGCAATGGGGGACAGAGCTGCTTCTCTGTTAGAGGTATATACAGGCATTCCATGATGAATGGGATGGGCTTTAACATATTCCAGAAAAAATAAGGGGGAAGAAACAAGAATGACAAAATGTTTAAAACTGATGAAGTAAAGTAAACCCATATTTATATGGGCAAATAATTTTCAACAAAAAAGCCAAAAACATACAGTGGAGAAAGGAAAGCCTCTTCAATAAATGGTGCTGGGAAAACTGGAAGGCCACTTGCAAAACAATGAAACTAGACTGTTGTCGATCACCACACACCAAAATTAACTCAAAATGGATTAAGGATGTGAATATAAGACCTGATACAATAAAATGCATAAAAGAAAACATAGAAACTAAACTCAAGGACCTTGGACTTAAAGAGGATTTTATGAATTTGACTTCAAAAGCAAGGGAAGTAAAAGATAAAATAAATGAATGTGACGACATCAAACTAAAAAGCTTCTGCTCAGCAGAATAGATCATTAACACGGTAAAGAGACAACCATCCGAATTGGAAAATATATTTGCAAGCAATGCCTCCGATAAGGGCCTAATATCCAAAATATACAAAGAACTCATACATCTCAACAATAAAAAAACAAACATTCCAATTAAAAAATGGGCAGAGGACCTGAACAGACATTTCTCCCAAAAAGACATGCAAATGGCCAACAGACATATGAAAAGATACTCAACTTCACTAGCTAATAGGGAAAAACAAATCAAAACCACAATGAGATACCACCTCACACCTGTTAGAATGGCTATCTTCAACAGGACAATTAATAACTAATATCGTAAAGGTTGTAG